CCCACTGCCAAAACATAACCACTGCTAAGTTTGTGTATCTTTCCAGGGAAGCATATATGTCATATATAAATGTCTACACATCATGTTTACATACATATGTTACATAATTTTTAAGGAATAAATGAGATAATACTACACACAACTGATCTGTACCTTGCTTTTACCACAACAGTATGTGTAGACAGCTGCCTTAAAAGGAGATCCCCTGCCCTGGCTGGTGTAGCTCAGTGGACTGAGCACAGGCTTTCGAACCAAAGGATCACAGTTCAATTCCCAGTCAGGACACATACCTGGGTTGCAGGCCAGTTCCCAGCAGGGGACACATGAGAGGTAACCATACATTGATATTTCTCTCCCTCTCTCCTTCCCTTCCCCTCTAAAGATAAATAAAAATAAAATCTTAAAAAAAAGGAGATCCCAAAACACCTCTTTTTATCAGCTGCATAGTATTCCTTGCAGGAATGTGTAATAATGTAAACCAGTCTCTTCTTGATGAGCATTGCAACTTATTTCTGCTGCAACAAATGCTGCAGTGCAAGTAATGTAACATGCTAATGCAAGTATTTATGAAGAATAAAATATAATAATTGAGACTGCTGAATAAAAGAGTAGGGTATATCCATTATACCTTTTTTCTAGGTATTAACAAATAGCCCACAAAAAATTGCAGTTCTCCTCACTCTTACTAACTGCATCCTAATGCAATGTCGAATTATAGCAGGTCTCTGCTGAACCAGCCTCAAGTAACAACACTGGGCAAAGAATCACAGTCTAGAGTGAGAATGAAAACTAATATTTACCAAGAGTTTAAGGGCCAGAAACTGCATTTGTCCTTTAGAGTAGCCAGAAACTGCACTTGTCCTTTAGAGTATCTCATTCATGCAATAATCCTGTGAGGTAAGTGACACTGTCTGCATTTTTTAAAAGAGGAAGCCAAGGCTAAGAGAGCTTACCCAATTTTATATACAGCTTTAGAAGTAACCGGGCCAGCATTTGAACCCAGGCAATCTGTATCAAAGTGAGACTCTATGAAGCAGCCCAAACTAGGGCCAAAAGTACAAGTCTTTAAAAAATGAGGGCTTTTGATTAACAAGGAAGAGGGTAGTCCTGAAATGTTTGTTCACAGGCTTGAAAGTTAATTTCATGCTACTGCAAAAGATCACATTGTCCCCTTTCAAATTTTGCCTGTGAACCCACTCTTAGTCTGTGCTTAAGTAATCCAGCTCCAACAAAGCAACAGTGAGCCCACAAGCCACAGAACCTGGAAGGGCTTGGAAAAGTTAATAGGCAGGAAGCAGGAGGAAAACAAGAAGCAGGTGGTAGACTAGCATGACCAAGTTAGGTATTTTGGACCCGAATCAGTTGTCACAAAAACATTATGGGGGAAGTGGAACTACTGTACACATGAGAGAGCCACAATTAATTGACGCAGTGTGTTTATACCAGCTTTCTCTGCCTCAAACACTTGCTATTTCTGCTGCACAGACATGCTGTGCCCAGTAACTTTAGGATGGCACATAATCACTACAGAACCAGGCAGCTGGGAGCTCCCTTCCCTGTTAAACAGGTTAGACTGGTGGCCTTGCCTGTTGCTATGAAGCTCTCATCACAGGGCCTGGGGTACTGCTTTCAACTTCCCCGGAGTTGGGTCTGTGGTTACCTTCCCTTGTAGCTGTCTGGGGCTGTTGTCAGGGAGGGGTGTTTATAACTCTCTCTTGGTAGAAGGGGGAGTTCCTTTCCATTTAAATGGTAAAAATTCACAGTGTATCTGCCTTTTACTGTCTTTGGGTCCTTTGCACCAAAGTAAGTGCAGTTATTGGATCTATTTATGCACACCACTCCTAATTTAACATCAACTATTTATTAATAAAGGGATAAAAAGAAGAAGAGGAAGGGGAAAGAAAACAGCTTCCCCTTTTCACCTATTGTCTCAATCCCAGAAGCCCCATAGGTACAGACAACAACTGAAAGTTGACAACAGAAATTGACAACATAATGTGATTTCAATAAGGAGAAATGGATATCACATTGGATGATCTGAGGAGCATCTTCAAATACCATCATAAATGCCACAGAATGAAGGCATGGGCATACTTTCATAGGTCAAAATCAAATAGCACAAAAGTGTATAGAGTGATGTCTCCCTCCAATCCCTATGTCACAGCCACCTAGTTCCTATCCTTCACCCCCTCAAGGAAACCAATACATATAATACATATACTAGCAAATATATGTATTATCACAATTTTATTTATTTACTTATTTTTTAGAGGGAAGGAGAAAAAGAAGGAGAGAAATGTCAATGTGTGGTTGCCTCTTCCACACCCCCTACTGGGGACCTGGCCTGCAACCCAGGCATGTGCCCTGACTGGGAATTGAACTGGCGGCCGTTTGGTTCCCAGGCCTGTGCTCAATCCACTGAGCTACACCAGCCAGAGACAATTTCACATTTATATATAAAAATCTTCCCTCTCAGATTAAAGTACCACTTAAATATGACAGAATTCAGACTTTTTAATTTCAAAGAGTTTTAAAATTCACAGTTGAACTCTTTCACTCCTAACAATTTGCTCATATTTAAAAGTTAAATTGTCTGGAGGCTGGGGCCTCCAGAAATGAAATGGAGGCCCCAGCATGCAGCAGTTACTTAAGTATTTCCTTGTGTCATTTGTCCTTTATTACTCAGAGGCAACAGGACAATTACTCACTTCCTCTATTGATCTCAACAAATGCAATCTGATTTCTTACTACTAAAAAAAAGAGAAGTCTTGAAAACCTGTACTGCATTCACTTAAGTGTGCAAAGATTTTCATACTGCATTTTTATCATAATTTCAATAGTCTTCAGTATATAATGAATAATTAGCTAAGAAAATGACATTAGAATTCAGATTGCAAGGGGGTTCTTGAAACAGAAGAGAATGTCTCAGAGAAAAATGTTTTCTCACAATTATAAGCAACTCACATCAAAATATTAGTATTTGGCATAACCTAGGACATTATATATTGACAAACTAAAAATTTTAACACATTTTAAAGTAATACCAAAACCCAAAGACATAGTACAAAAATTACACGGAATGCTATGAAATGATGCTGCCATTTTGGAATAATCACCAATTAAACCAGATTTCAGTAGCACAAAATGAAACACTGTAGTACAGTTCCAATGACTAAAACCTTGTGATGAATCTAAAAAGTACATATCAGCAAAGGAAAATTCCACTGCTATTTTTAAGCCTTAAGATAAGGGTGATTGAGCTCCTGAGAACATGGAGTACTCCTCAGAAAATGTATTTTTAAATCCCCAATTTAGTTTCCATGCACTTGAACATGTACTTATGAGCCTGTCAAAGCTACCTTCTAAAATATTTTACATTGTACTTTAATGAATTGGTACATGGGATATAAAATAAGAATATTTTCATGACTATCTATGTAATATAAAGGCAATTTTCACTTGCATTATGGCTCAGAATCAATCACCAGAAATGGCAGCGTGCTTTAACTCCCCACTTTGCTCTCTGCTCAGGAAACCTCCTAACTTACATGCAGCCCTGGCATCAAACATTTGTCACCAACTGACACAACCCACAGAACTCAAGAATGACCAGGTATCAAGGCCAAAGTTTGTATTTACACCTGTAATTTACAATAACCATACTCAGTTTTGGACCTGATCCTGTTTCAATTTAAGATTTGTGGATACCCTGAAAACTTGAGGGCTCCTGACAGCACTTTGTAACATTTGTGGCCATGAACCTAGGCTGTCAACGACCAATCAAGAACCATGAGAAGCAAGCCCCAGGGCCAAGGGTAATTTTCACATTAAAGATTAAGGTGTCTTCTTTCCATTCTATATCAGGGAACCCTGAATGGAAATTGAATGGAGAAATTCCTCCAGTATAAATGATAAAGTAAAATGCTGCCTCTTGGGACCAGTCATAAGGTGGGCTCCTCTATTTCAAATGAGTGTGCCAATGTGGGCCCTAACTCTACAGAAAGAGAATGCTTGGTTCCAGTTTGGAGTGCTAGAGTGGGGTTCAGGGGACATAGTGGGGGAGAAGGGATAATTCAGATTGTGGCTAAGTGACACATACAATGAGAGGAGATTTGTACTGACCACTGTGCATGTGTCACACCATGTGCCATTAAATCCGGAAAAGGATGGTGGCAACAGCCCACCCTTCACCACAAAAGAAGGCTGACTCCAGAATTAAAACCATTACTTTTCCTCTTCATACATTCACAAATGTATCTTCAAAGTCACATCCATGTTACAATTTGAGGAATATAAAAACTCCTCTCCTCTTGGAGAAGGCAAGTAACTGGGCAGAACTTCCTCCCTGGACATAAGGGTGGAAGATGTGCCCATCTCCGGGACTAGGTCCAACATGGCTGGGTAGCACTCTGGGTCCTGAACTACATTCACCTTTCACAGTGCTTCATGCTCTTACGTTATTAAATAGAGACCAAAGAACACATCTCAGAAGTGGACTCCCAGACAGGTTGACCATGGATGTAGCATCCACCAGGCCACGCCAGCCCATACTCAGGCCAAGAAGCCCTCAGCCCTTGCCCTGACCCTCACTGTGGCCTGCCTCCCGGGATAGCGCAGTCCCCTGCGAAGGCATCCACCTTCTGCCAGGGCACACACATCCTATTAAGCTGAACTGGGGCAGAGGTCCGGGACGAGATGGGGCAAGGGTAAGTCAGAACCGGTGGACAGAACCAGGCCACCTTTGTGCCGATCATTTTCCTGGTTCCCCGTTAAGAAACGTGGATTGGGGTTGAATTCTTTTCAACAGTAATAGAAAACAAACAAACAAACAAAAAAGGCAGAGTTGACCTTGGGAACCAACACCATAGCAAAGGGGAAAGAAAAAATGCAAAAGAACCCACATTGCGAGTGATGGGGGAGCACAGTGAAGCACAGGGGGGAACGCAGTGGCCCGGCTGCCCGAAAGGTGTCGTGGTAATGGGCACCGGTGGGGTGCTCACCATAGATCATAGCCAGCCCGGTCTCGTGCAGGAAGCGCACCCGGCGGTGCTTGAAGAGCCAGATGGTGAGGATGGTGAGCGTGAGCAGCAGGATGAAAGTGAGCAGGCTCACGCTGTCTTGCCTGTGGCTCTCCTCCGCTTCCTTCTCAGTGGCGAGCTCCTCCATAGCGCTGCTGTCCTCAGCCGCCCCAGAGGAGGAGGCCGCCGCCACTACACGCAGCCCCCGACTCAGCAACAGCAGCAGCAGCAGCAACCCCGGTGGCAGCCCCAGGCCAAAGCGCGCCTCACCACCACCAGGCTCCATGGCCTCAGAGCCGCCTGCCTGTCCTGCGTGTGGACCTGCAGCCAGCGTTATAGGCGAGTTGACTCCTAGCAGCAGACCTGGTGGAGTGACGGTGTCAGCCGCAGCTCCTCCTCCTGTTGGCACCCCATAGGGGGAAGGGCACGCGCAGTGCGCAAGATCCCCAAGCACCGCCTCCCCCCCCCCCCCCGCACCTGTTCAGCTCTGGGCCTCGCCCTGCCCACCGTCGGCCCAGCCACCAAAGCAGGTTTGGCTGTCACCCTCCGACTGGAGGACTCAGCTGCCAGCCCCTGGCCTCTCAGAGCTCCTCCCTGGGTTCTGGCGTACCTGGCCAGGCCGTCTAGGGCCGTGGGGTCGGATTCCAGAGCCCTCGCCGCCACGTATCCTGAACCTGACGCCAGAGATCGCCCGCCTGGCGGGAGCATCAGCTTGGATTTGCGCCGAGTGGCCTTCAGTCCTGTCTCTGAAGCCAGTGCAGAGTGTTTCATCTCAGACATTGTGTGTGTAGGCGCCCTGAGCTCAGTAAAGTGGGGGCTCTGGAGGAATCGAGGAGCCGCGAAACCATATCACATCTTACAGCTCTCCTTCCACATTTCTCATAGTGCCTATCAGCTTTCGGGGTTTCCCAGAATCTGCCAGGCTTCATTCAAACCTTTGCTTTACTCTGTCCCAAAGTGAGGACCCACGAGGGGTCGGAATGAGGGGAGAACATTAAAATGTATTCTTCACTACTGAAAATTAGACTCACTCCTTATTCTGGGAAGAGGGCTGAAGGAGCTAAACACTTGCCATTCCAGATAGATGAGTGGTGGGGCGGGTGGGGAGTGTTGTGTATTACTTTTATGTTGACGTAAAAGTTTATTATGCCACTGTAGCCCAGGAAGTCTTCGGATAATTCTTAGCACCAGGCCCAGCTCTGCAAAAAGCTATAAACTGGGCTCTGAAGAATAAAACCTCTCAGAACAAATTCTCAGGAACTAGAATTTTCAATCTACCTTGTTCAAGAAAGAAAAGAGAGCCCTGGCTGGTGTGGTTCAGTAGATTGAGCATTGGACTGAAAGCAAAGGGTCACTGGTTCAATTATCAGTCAGGACACATGCCTGGGTTGTGGGCAAGGTCCCCAGTAGGTGGCACATGAGAGGCAACCACACATTGTTTCTCTCTCTCTCTTTCTCCATCCCTTCTCCTCTCTCTAAAAATAAATAAATAAAATCTTGAAAGAAAAGAGAGACCAAATTATAATCACTGAATTCCCAGTGCCTAGCACTGTATTCCTAAAGTGTTTATTGACCCACTCTGAAATTCGTCCCAACTGCTGGGATTTCTCTCCCGAATTTCTCTCCCAGAGACCTTTGCATTTTTAAGAGGATTCATTGAGGAAAGCAAAGCTAAACTAAAGAGCAATGATAGGGTAGAGATGGCATTAGGTAGGAAAGGTATTTGGACTACTGAAGCCTTTCTGATTCCCCTCTAGGTGAATACTCTGGCAAGCCTGTTAAGGCCCTTCTTTAAGCAGAAGGAGCTCATTTAGATTTTAGGTAAAGTTTTCTATTCCTCCAGTCACCCAAACCCTGAAAAATCCATATACCAGTCATACCTCAGTACTCGTTGGCTTCAGAACTCATCAAGCCCTGTACTCATCACATTTTTTATTTAATTAATTTTATTTAGTTAATTTTCAAGTACAGTTTTTTTGTCTATTTCTCCCATCTCAGCCTCCCCCGCCCCTTGCTCCCCACCTCCCTCCCATTTCCACCCCCCCTTAGTTCTCGTCCCTGCTCATCACATTTTTATGAGAAAAAAAAATGTTTCAGAACTTGATGCTTGCTTGGGACTTGTCGCACTTTCTAGAACTTGTATGAGTGATAACACCACCCCTCAACAGAAGATGCTTCATAGTTCAGCACTCATTGATTTTGGCACTCCTCAGTTTTGGCACTCATCACAAGTCTCAGAACGAATTAATGATGAGTGCCAATGTACCACTGTACCCTGTAATTCCATGAAGGTTTGCAATGAAATTGCAAACACTGAAAACCTGGATGGTCACACAGAAAGTTATACAACAATGGGAAAATTTGATCTAATTCTTGAAAACTCATTAAAATTCATGTTTCCTGAAAACTGGCCATATTGATCACAATATTTAATATTACACCCCCTTGGGTCCCCAAAAGTCGAAAACAAAACCTCTCTCTATATAGTTCATTCTGAGGACAACTCAGGAGTTACCTCAAAAGTACAAAATTCTTAGTACTTGTGGCAGGTCATATTTTCTAAAAATGCCCACAAGTGTATTTCCAAGCTCACATGCTCTTCCAGAACCATGCCACTCTCCCATCAATAAGGGGCATCTATGTTCCCACCCCCTTGACCTTCAGTGGACCCTTGAGACTGCCTCAAAGAATAGAATGTGGCAATGAAGACTGCATAACTTGTGAGGCTAAGTCATAAAAAACAACCTAGTTTCTACCTGACTCACTCCCACCTTCTTTCTTTCCACTCACTTTTGAGTCCTGAGCTTCCATGTAATAAATCTAGACCACGATGAGATATCACCTCATACCTGCTAGAATGGCTATGATTAAAAAAACAGGAGATTAAAAATACTGATAAGAATGTGGAGAAAAAAGAACTTTTGTGTACTGTTTTGGTGGGAATGTAAATTGGTGCAGTCACTATAAAAAATAGTATGGAGGTTTCCCCAAAAGTTAACATTAGAACTACCATATGATCCAGCATTCCCAGTTCTAGATATATACATGTATATACATATATATACAAAGGAAATTAAAACAGTATCTCAAAGAGATATCTGCACTCCCATGTTTATTGCAGCATTACTCACAATAGCCAAGATACAGAAAGTGTCCATCAATGAATGAATGGATAAAGAAGATACATACACACACACATGCACAGAGGAATATTCGGCCATGAGAAAGAAGGCAATCCTGCCATTTGGGACAAATGGATATAACCTAATATAAATTGGTACAGTAAACTGGTGCCTTATATGTGGAATGTAAAGAAGCTTAATTAGTAGAAACAGAGAATAAAATGTTGGTTACCAGGGCCCAGAATGGGGGAAATAGAAAAAAAGAGTACAAATTTCCAGTTACAAGATAAATAAGTTCTGAGGAACTAATGCATAGCATTGTGATTATAGATAATACTATACTGTATACTTGAAAGTTTCTGAAAGAGAAGATCTTAAATGTTCTCACCACAAAAATTGAAATGCTAATTCATTGATGTGATGGAGGGGTTAGCTAACATTATGATGGTAACCATATTGTAATATATAAATGTATCAAATCAACACATTGTATACCTTAAACTTACAATGTTATATATTAGTTATATCTCGATAGGTGTAGAAAATAAAAAAAAGAAATCTATCTACCTTGAAGCTGCCGTACTGGAGAAACCACATAGCAATAGAGACAGACACCACAGGAACCCCAGCTTTTTTTAGTGTTCCCAGCCCATATGCCACACACATGAGTGAGTGAGCCCTCAAATTATTTCATTCACAGCCACCATCTTACTGTAAACATCTGAGACACTCCAAGGAAGAACCACCTAGCTTCCCTTAATCAATCCCTAGATCTATGCAATAATAAAATGATTTATGTTATTTTAAGATACTAAGTTTGAGGGTGTCTTCCATAGAAATAGATATCCAGAAGAGTATTTATAATATAAAGTTGTTGCCTCAGATAGTATATGAAAAGATTAATCCCAACACAAATATACACCAAAGATAACACTCCATTATCCATACATATTTATGTATGAAAACTAACCTATACAAGGGTTATGATTCCAGTTAACACAGAATGATAACATTTAACCTACTCTTTCCCACTGAATGCAGCTACAAAACCTGAATAGAATGCATGGAGCAACTATTTAAGGATTCTGAAACATAAATTGTATCAGGTAAATCTGGGACGAACACCAGAATTTGAAGTATAAGAACTGGCAAGGAGTTTACCAATCTTTTCCTCCACTAGCCACTGGAGTGCAGTTAGGATAGCCCAAAACTCAGAAGGGGGCATCAATATGGACAGAAAATACCAGTAAGAGTAGAAAATGGATCTCTTAAAATCCAGAGAAAGTGGTGGAATACACCATTTTTGGGTTTTTTTTTTTCAATTCTCTCACACCCTAGCCAATAGGCAATCTCTCTATGACAGTGACAATGGAGGAAGCAGCACTATCAAGTGCTTAAAATGCTAAGGGAGGGAGGAACCCTCTGTATGGTTGGAGTAGCTATGGTTCCAAAATAGTGAGGGGAAATCCCCATTGACATTTTTTTTATCTCTCTCTGTCCTCCTGCTGCCTGGCCCCGAACATGGGCAAAGTTGCAGGAAGTGCAAAGCAGAGAGGAATAAACAAAGACAGATTTCTTGTCAAAGGATCAAAATGGGGAATTCCAAAGAACTGCAAATTATCAGTCAGGAATACTGTGGAGAGTGAGGAGTTTGGAGAAAAGAATCCCATACAGTCATTATGAACTCCTGGATCCACCGTGACCTCCATGTAGATCTGAACTTAACATAACAAAGACTGTAATAACTGAACAAAGAAACAGATCACCCAGATCCTAGACTAGCCACTGGATAAAATACCCATGGTATAGATCTAAACACTACAAAAGGTTTGAAAACCGAATTGACTTTGGGACCATGATCCAAAGAAGGCAGGTCAGAACTTGTGATCTGGACCTAGCCATGCTGACTAAAACAAATATACCAATATTCTCCCTTAAGATTAAAGCAAAATATAAGATCTGATAGCATAATATTAAACATGTACAGGATACAACCCAAAATTTTTCAGCATATGATGAAATATAAAAATCTCAGTACATTTCAATGCTGAAATGATATGGGACACAAATGTTTGAATTATCTAAAAAATAATTTAAAGCAGATATTATAAAAATGCTTCAATAAGTAAGAACAGTCTTGCCCTGGCTGGTGTAGCTCAATGGATTGAGCATGGGCCTACAAACCAGAGTATCACGGTTCGATTCCCAGTCAGGGCACATGCCTGGGTTCCCAGGCCAGTTCCCAGCAGGGGACACATG